CAGTTTCCTAAAACAAGTTATTTCAGGGAGAATGAAGGTTGAATGTCAGGTCTTAAAGTGGAGATTGTGAGGCGAGATAACCTTTGGGAAAAAAAGAGACCAAAAAGAGCCACTCAAGATGAGAACAGTGTTCTATAGATGGGGATTTAATTAATCTAAGGCTAAGAAATAAGCAAGAGCATGTGCCCTTTCAGTGAGTTCAGTGGTAAAAGGAATGTGGTAGGTGGTCTCTAAATATGGCCATTATCATTTCCTTTCTTCTCTGTATGCATGTGTTACTCTACCCACCAAGAGGTGGAGTCTGTTTCTCATCCTCTAGAATGTGGGCTGGCTTGTGACTTACCTTAATTGGTAGAATATGGTGTAAGTGATGTTGGACAAGCTCTGGGCCTAGCCTTTAAGAGGCCTAACAGCTTCCAGTTTGTCTCTGGGGGAAGCCAGTCACCATGTAAGAAATTTGACTGCTTTGAGACCACCATGCTCTGGAGAAGCCTAAGCTAGCCCCACGGGGAGGCCACATGGAAGAGTGCTGAAGCACTGGACATGCGAGGAAAGACTTCTGGAGCCTTCCTGCCCAGCCCATTGACAGCTGAATGCAGCTGAAAGAGTGACACCAGCTGATGTCATGTGGAGCATGAGAACCACCCAGCTGAGCCCTGCCCAGATTCATGACCCACAGAATTGTGAGAAATAATAAATTTTTTTTTTTTAAATAAAAAAAAAAAAATTTTTTTTTTTGTCCTTTTTGAGACCGGCTGCATCATCCTCAGCCAGTGAGCGCTGTGAGCGCACCGGTCATCCCTATATAGGATCCGAACCCACGGCGGGAGTGCTGCTGCGCTCCCAGCGCTGCACTCTCCCGAGTGCGCCACAGGCTCGGCCCATAATAAATTGTTTTTAACCTCCTAGGTTTTTGGAAAAGAAAGTAGGTCATGATGACCTATCATTTCAGACCTACACAGGAAGAGGAATTTATCTCTGGAAAGTAGAGAAAATGATGATTCATAAATCATTAGAATTTTCTAGAATAGCCATTTGAATTCACAGTAGACAGGTCTCCCCTGAGGAGCCCTGGATTCAGGTGGGTTGGTACTTGGATCGCAGAGTATCTGAGGATCTGTGTAGAGCCTGAGGGTGGAAGGGTAATAAGAAAGGGATTCCAGAAAATTCTGTTTTTCTACTCTTTCTAGCCATTTTGAAATGTTTTCCATTTTGAATGTACACCCGTGAGCATAGCTCATTTCTTTGGAAATGTGTGTAATACTCTCTTTTCCTTTTTACACAGTTAATTCTTTGAAAGCCATTGAAGTTAAATAGGACCAGAAAACATATGGGAAGGCATTCAAACAGGAGATTCACAGATTGTATCCTGGAACAGGATATATCCCGAGACCAGGTATTAGTTTCAAGGAATGGAGTCTTTGGTGATGGGAGGGTTCTGGGCATGATGAGAAATCTAGGGTGGAGTTTCCACAGTGGTGTAAATTGGATGGGGTTGTAAAGGGCGTCCCAGAAACTACCACAACAAGCAGATTTAATCCTGATTTAGGAGCTGGCCCAGAGTGGAGAAGACCCCACAACAGACTGCTGTATTGAAGAAGGTTACCTTCAGATAAAAGAGAAAAAACCTTTTGTTCTAAGGGGTGGTTGGCTTTTCAAGAAAGGGATGTCTGGTAGCAAAAGGTCAGAATAATCTGCAGTGATGAGTGCCTGTGTTCTGTAAAAACTCCACACAGACTGACTGATTTATGCCTTGTTCTAAAAAAGATCTGTGCTCAGCATGTGCTCTGTGCCCTTGGAATTTCTTATATTTTGATGAACACAGAAGCACCCAGAAGGCAGAGACTATCATACGCGGCTCTATCCCCCACCACTAGGTCAATGCCAGGAAAGAGCAGGTGCTCAGTCTTGTTTGTTGATGTTGATGTTGTTGATGATAACGAAGAAGACCATGACTCCATCCCTCAATGTGTGTTTCCAGGGAAAGAGGAAGACAGGGAGGCGGGGATCCCTAAACTCTCAAAGAAGGGATTCAGGGGACAGATGGTGGCTGTGTTCATCAGGATTCTTTGGTTCCAAGTGACAAACTCTCAACCTGAACTAGCTGAGGAATTTATTGGCTCAAATGTCCAAACTGCAGGAACAGCCAGGGTGGGGCTAGGCCTCCGGGTGAGTGGTGCCAGGGCTCTGACCCAGGAAGGTGCCAGGACCTCCTTTTCCTTCCCTCTTCCTCCTTTGCTGTCTGCGGGCCTCATTCTCTCCCACCATCCTTCTTCACAAGGCTTCAGCTGTGGCAGAACCAGCCCCATATTGCAGCTTCAGCATCAGAGTGGACGATACTTTCTTTCCTCAGCTCCAGTGTGGGAAATGCCAGGAAGAGCTCTGATGGGCCCAGGCTGGATCACCTGTCCATCTCAGAGGCAGGAGCTGGGAGCCTACAGTTGCCCAGTACCAACGCCAGTGAGAGCAGCAGCATCTCAGGAGCTATGTGTTTCCAGAAGTGCCAGGAAGGATGGGGGATGTGTCTCTGGATGACAGTGACTCATCTGGGTCTGCACATCCTGGAGACAATCTTACCAGGGCCTCCTCATGGAAGGCAATGCTTCCCTGGCACCACCAAGCCCCTGTGTTTTCTAGGCACATCACGAGGTCGCCCATTCCCCTCCATTAATCCCAGAAAGAGGTGAACACAGAAAGCGGAACAACTGTTTGACTCACTGGGTTCTGGAAATGGGTGTGGTTCTTGACCTCCTGCCTGATCCTCAAGCCTGTGTTCCAGGCTGCAGGGATGCAGGAGACACTGAGTTGGCAGCAATACCAACAAGTTGATCACAGAGTCTGGCCAGAGTTCATCCACTTGCTGTGAATTTAGGCAAATCACTGCTTGGTCACAAAACACTTTAAACTTGACTCAAACTTTCTTGCCTTCATGGCTTCATGCTATAACTACCTAGAAGCTTCCAGCTATAAGGCTGTTGGTCTTTTTCTGTCTTTCTGTTGAGGAGGCCTATTTAGGGGCAGCATGGCGGGGCAAGTAGCCAAGGGATGTATCACTCCTCTTTAAGAATAAAAACAATGTTAGTCGTTGACTTCATTGCACTCTCTGGGGTCCTATTTGTAGGCCAGCACACTGCTCGGTACTGTGATGGGTACACATGGCATATGATGTAATTCTCTGCTCAGAGGGTCACCACCTAGTACATCAAATAAGGAGTGGCCGCAATCCCAAGCTTTCAGAGGAAAGAGAGGTCATTTTGCTGGTGTAAAGTCTTTGTAAAGAAGGTGCATTTGGTATAGAACCTGAGGGATTTATAGGATTTTAATAGGAAATATATGGGTCAAACATTAATGAAAGAAATGTTATGAGCTAAAAAGCAGATCAGGGGACAGAAAAATATGTAAGGAACAGGGGGTAAAAAATGTGTTTGAGGAACAGAGGGTACATTAGCTGGACAACAGAGAAACGTGTGTTGGGGAATAGTGGAAAACCGTGGAAGGCAATCTGGAAAAGTACCTGGCAGCTAAGATTGTGGAAGATCTGGTGTGTAAACTAAGACTTTGTTTCTTTGGTAGGAAATGGGGAGCCATTGAAGGATTCTGAGCAGAGCGTACCATTATATCAAAATACTGGTTTGGAGAATG